TGAACCCCGGCTTGGCTGGGCGCTGCTGGGGGAGATCCCGAGGACGCGCAGCGCGTCACTGCGCCGCTGCCTCGCAGCCCGGTCGGATTCCATGGTAATCACTGCTGGCTTTTCCTGATCAGGACCTCCCAGCAAGCCTCTGCTCCAGGCTCTGTCCCTTCCCCGTCGGGACTGGGAAGAGCTGCAAGCGCCCATTAATGATCAGACCATTTCCATAAGGCACAGGCTGTGGAGGCCTGTGCCTGCTGTCTGGAGACGAAGGTGGGTGTGCAGCAGTGTAATTGCACAGCGGGCAAATGCTCAGGCAGTGGCTGACCCACTTTGCGAGGGCAGGTTGGACTTGATCTTGCCCTCGGCTTGCAGTAGGAAAATGCCCCATTAACAGGCAGCATCAGCTGAGCCTGGCAGGGCCTGCCCTGGTAGAGCTGTCAGCAGCCTCGGTGGCAGCAGCTGTGTGATCACAGGTCTGTTCCTTGCAGAGTACCAGGTGCTGGAAGCCGTTTGGGGCGGTCTAGAAGGGCAACCCAATGCTGTTGCACCAGCTGAGACAGGCCTTGGTGACCCTTACTGCCAATGTGGGTCTCTCTTGGACTCCAAAAAGCCCGTTCCCAGTGTGCTGCAGAGGTCTGGGAGGACTGTGATCCATCCTCTGCCCCGAGGGTGTGCACCGTGCTCCCAGCAGTGGCTGTGGTGGAGAGAACTGACTTCTTGCTCCTGAGCTGCAGTTGCTACAGAAGGATGGGAAGAAACCCTGAGGATCAAGCAGCGGGAGCCTGTCACCCTGCAGTGGGGAACACCAGTGCAAAAGGGCTCTGAGAAGAGATGAGATGTGGATGGGACGACTTGGGCACCGTGATTTCACTTGTGCAGACCCTGGAGCACCGTGGGGTTGAGGACATTGTCTTTGCCTGAGGCTCTTTGACCAGGCTCATTCCCTTCCAGCCTCCGGCAGTTAGTTAGGAAGCTGCCAGCCCTGTTCTTTAGCATTAATTGGGGTTGAGCAGTTGGTGTAACTCAGTAACATCTTCAGGCACCTCCCAGGCTGTGCTTCTGGAGCTGTGAAGATCCTCCATGGGGGCCAGCGTGGCTGGCAGGCTCAGGAAGAGGCTGAAGCAGGAGTTTGAGGAAATATTCTGCCATCCTGCTTACCCTGGGCAGCTCTGTGGTTTGGGGAATGGTATCCAGTGGGTCTTGTAAGAGGAAACATTGGGGTTGCTTGGCCAGATGGGATCTGTCCAGACTGCTTCCTGGCTGGCCAGGCCAGAACAGGGAGCTTCAGAGGGAGATGAAGCCCCAGCGTGGTGAGCAGTGGTGGGATGTCGTGGCAGGGAACTGCTCCCTGCCTGGAGGAGCAGGTGCCCCCTGGGCTGCAGCGAGTTCCAAAAAAACCTTCAGTCCTGTTGAGTGTAACTGGGGAGATTGGCCCTTATCCATATACATGTCTAATCCTCTTTGCTTCTTTGGGATTTGCTGCTGCCAGGAGTCTGTAGGCTGCCTTACTGGGCACTTCGTTAAAAATCCTCGTTATTTGTCTCTTTCTTGGCCGTGTGACTTCCCGAGTGCCCTCCAGGCTCCTCTTCTGTCCTGGCACGCTGCGTCCAGCTCTCGTCCTTCTCTCTTGTGTTCTCTAGTCTCTTATCTCAGGGAGAAAGTTCTTCCTGGTCTCATACCTTTCTGGAACCTTCTTACTCCTGTGTTAGACAAGATGAAGATGACGGGAGTGGTGCCTGGCACCCTGGGGAGCAGCTTCCCTCCCACCACATGACAGATTTGCCTGCGCTGTGCTGGAGCACGCCTGCACTTCTGGCGGCTGTTTGTCCCAGCAAGGCTTTCGCTGGACACCGAACAGCCGTGCCCTGGGCCTTCCCAGCAGGGCCTGTACTGGTTTAGAAAGGAGTGATACGGTGTGGAGTTGTGCGTCTACTGGAAGAAAAGGGTTTTTTTGTGTGTGAGGGAGTGGGGAAGCTACTGAGAACAACGTTAAGCCCTGCTAGCACGACTGGAGCCATAGGGACCTGGGCCCCAGCATTGCCCTGGCAACACGAGCAGCAGTCAAGGCTGTGCTGGGTTGAAGACTGGTGCTGTGGCTGCTGTGTTTGGCTCCAGTCTGTCACTTCCCTCCGCTCATGTTCCTGTCCTGTGTCCCTGCTCGTGTGTTACAGCTGCTGTCTCCTGGTACGACGAGTTCCAGAGGCTCTACGACACCATCCCTTGCGTGGAAGTGCAGGCCCTGAAGGAGCACAACGACCAGGTTTTGCACCTCAGCTTCTCCCACTCTGGCTGTTTGTTTGCCTCCTGCTCCAAAGACTGCACCGTCAAGGTAAAGCGGTGGCCTGCCTCGCACAGCCCTTCCAGCTTTGGTGTGGGGGGGCTCAGCCACCAGAGCAGCCTCTAGGAGGTCTGAGAGCAGAGGTTTGACCAGGTGTCCCTGGGCTCAGGCCGGTTCCTGCAGATCTGAATTTTCTCAAAGCCACAGAACTAATGCCTCTTGCAAATGTGGCCCTGAGGGCTGTGGGTTCCATCCCCAGCCCACGTGAAGGTGGCCGGGGTGCCTGTCTGGCTCTGGTTGCTGTCCAGGTGCAAACCAGTCCTGTTGTGCCGTGGGTCTAACAAAGACTGTGGAGGTAATGATCCACTGCAGGAGCTGCCTGGCACGAGTGGTTGTCTGGGGGAAATTTCTCTGAACATGCTGAGAAATCCTGCTGTGACAGCACCACTCCCTGCCTGAACGCCTTCTCCGCTGGGTGGTGGAGCTGCAATACTGCGCTTAGCTGCTCTCCGAAGCTGTTGGCTGTTTTCTGTCCGGAATATTGACAGGGAAGTCAGGACTGGGAGGTGATTAAATAGGGTCTTTGATATTTTTTTTCTTGTCCGGGTGAGTGCTGGCAGAACAGAACAAGAACTGCCCTCAGGCTTCTCAACAGCTTCCTGACTGTTTCTCTGTCTGTAGATCTGGAGCAATGAGTTGGACATCTCCCTGCAGCACAGCTCCAACATGAGGCCCTACAACTGGAGCTACACACAGTTCTCCCAGTTCAACTCCGATGACTCCCTTCTCCTGGTGTCAGGTGTCTTTGTGGGGCCTCATAACTCCTCGTCAGGAGAGATCGCTGTAATCAGCATGGGTAAGTACCGCCCTCGCCTTCACTGGGGCTTCCTGGGAGGTGTCAGATGGTGGGTGCTGGGGTCCCCTTCCGTGGCCTTGGTGTCTGCTTGTCTTGATGATGCCTCCCGCCATCCGTGCCAAGGGGTCCTGGTTGCAGTTGCATAGGGTGGACTTTCCGGATAGCCTCAACTCTGCCCAGGTCACCGCATCATCACCTCAGGGCAGTGTGGCATGTGTTTATTCTCACTTAACTTCTGTTCTGAGTTGACACAACAAGAGTTTTCTGTGTTACCTGTTGTCTTGAAGCCACTGTTTCTGACTCAGGTGGTGCTAGTCCCACCCTGAGATCTCAGGTGGCTTTGAGGTGTGTCCACCTGGGCCTGCTTCACCTGCTCTGCTGCAGTTCTGTGAAACTCGCTGGTCCCAACCGCGTTGTCTCTGCGCTACAGTCCCAGTGGGCCAGAGATGAAGGCGTGCTGCAAGACACACAGCTGCCTTGCTCAGAAAGGCCCTGAGCCCCGGGGCAGGAGTGAAGAAGTTCTGTGCGTGTTTGACTTGTTCTTGTGCTTGGGGCTGTGCTCAGAGGAAGGCTGTGAGGTAGATTGCTCCGTCTGGCCGCCCTTTTATTTCGGCTTCCCTTGTGCACGCCCCCATGCATCTCTAGGAGAGGAATAATCTGCCTCCATAGCAGTGACTGGAACTGGACCTTGGTTGGGCAGCGGCCGCTCGACTTGCAGAGGAGCTGCAGTGAATCCATTTCCCATGTCTTCTGCCACAGTTTCTCCAGAGCCCTTGCCAGGAGCCATCACCTCACCCTTGTGTTTCCCTTCCCTTCCAGAGAACTTCACGCTGCTTTCCAGGGTGCGGAATAAACCCTATGATGTGTTTGGCTGCTGGCTGAATGAAACCAACTTGATCTCTGGCAATCTGCATCGGATCGGGCGCATAACCTCCTGTTCGGTGCTGTGGCTGAACAACGCTTTCCAGGTGAGGCGCCTTTGCTCCAGCTCCACAGGCACTGCAGCTTCCTGCTGCCTCCTGGGGAAGGAAAAGCTGTGGAGGAGGTGTGAGAGGGGAAGAACAGCCCAATCCTCCAGTCCTCCCTGTTTGTCTCCTCTGACTTGCCCTCAGGATCTTGAGCTTGAGGCAACCCTTGCGTGAGGTTTCTCCGTGCTCGGTGCTGTGGTGCCCATTGCGATATTTTCTCTCTACCCTCAGATTCCATTAACTCTTGCCCATTAATTGGGATGAGGGGTTGACTGCGGTGCCCTAGAGTGTGCGTTGCTCAACAGGAGAGTGGTGGAACCACAGCATGGTTGCTGAGGTCCCTGATGATGTGAAGCTGGGCCTGGGACGGCCGTAGCCTGGCACGTATCTGAGCGATGGCCGTTCTCCCGCTTGGCAGCTCAGTGCCTTGTTCCCAGGAGCCAGAGGCAGCTCAGCTGACGTTGCTGACGTTTCTGTGGGCCAGTTGCTGTGTCTGGTGCTGGAGATCAGTGTGTGCTGGCCTCAGACAGCTTGTTTACTGCCTGTTCATTCTCTGGCACTTGTGCTGCTCGGACATGTTCCTCTCCCATGTTTCGCCTCTGTCTCAATGTCACAGCTGCACGTTCTGGAGTTGTGTGGTTTTTAACATGAACGATTGATGCTGGCCCCAGGTGAAATCCTCTGGTGGCAGAGACCCTTCCCATAACCCCATCTCTGTGCTGCGCTGACTATACAGCAGTAACCCTTCCATCTCCCACGAGGCGAGGAAGGACCCTGCCCACCTTGGCAGGGGGTGCTGGAGTGCGGCCGCAGACTGCCCGAGCAGTTAGGCAGGAAGAGACCTGCTGCTTGGGTCTGGGAGCAGATCACCAGGCTGGTCCTGCTGAGGGCTACAGGAGCGTGGAGGTTCTCAGCCTCTGCTGCGTGTAGGCCAGAGGAGACGGCACGTCACACTCCAGCTGTGTTTATCCCAGAGGCCTGTTCCTGAAATTCTTGCAAAGCATTGAGCAGTGCCAGTGTGTGACCCTGGGCGGGGCTGGCAGCAAGGCTGCCCACCCTCTGTGCTGCCCAGCTCCACTGCTGCCTGCCTGCAGGACCTCATTGTCTTGGTGTGCCCACCTCCGAGATGGGAAGGGGTGCCACGAAGCTGGCCAGCCTCCTGGGCCGGTTCCCCTGGTCAGTGCTCCATAAAGCAGCGTGAGGAGAGGTCGGCATGTGGCTGGTGTCTGCTGTGCGGGTGGGTCTGGGCAGGTGGCCCTTGGCTGGAGCTGCAGGAGAGACCCTCCAGTGAGGCGGTTCCTGCTCACTTCTCCCTTCTGCTTGCAGGGCATAGAGTCTGAGAACGTGAATGTCGTGAAGAGACTGTTCAAAATCCAGAACCTGAACGCCAGCACTATCCGCACCGTGATGGTGGCTGACTGCAGCCGCTACGATTCCCCAGACCTGCTCCTGGACTACGAGGAGCAGCTAGCTGCTTCCTCCACCTGCCCAGTCTTTGATCTTGGCAGTGACAGTGAGGAAGAGGAGGCCAAGCCCAAGCAGACTCCGGAGCCAGCAGTACAGGAATTGCCGGACGAAGGAGGCGTGACGGCAGAGGACGGGCTGCAGCAGTTCTTTGATGATATCATGGAGGGCCGCGTGAGGCCTGCCATGACCGACACGGAGCTGGAGACAAAGGTGGCTGAGCTGTTCCTGCGCAGCAGAACTAAACCGCCTGAGCCCAGCCTGCTCTCCACGGACAGCAACAGCAAGACAAAATACTTGATCTTCACCACGGGATGCCTCACCTACTCCCCGCACCAGATAGGTAAGGCTGTGGTCTGAGCCGGGGGCACGCCGCTGCCCTGGGGCTATGGGCCAGCTGGGCTCTGCATGGCAATCTGGAGAAGACCTGGTTTGTTTGCTGCCCGAGTTGCAGCTTTGCTCAGGCCCTGGCTTCTTGATACGGGAGGCTTTTGAGATGCCCCCAGTCGCTGAAGGGGTTCCCACCCTGCAAGCACTTGCCTGAGGGTTGTTTTGGTGATACCAGGCTTGACACGTGGCCAAACGAGAAAGTCGTGGCGAGGGCTGAGCAGAAGATCAAGAAGGAACTCCTGACTGGACAACGTCAGCCGTGGGTGGCACACAAGCGGGTGGATGTGAAGGGCAGCGAGTGCCCTGACAGGGACATGTGGAAAAGCCTCAGTCCCATTCTCTGGGGGTGCAGAGGGCATCAGGACCAGGCTAGCTTGAGCAGCTTGGAGTTCACACGCATGTCACTTGTGCAGTGGCCCTCAGCTCTGGGAGACGGAGCCCTGCCTGCCCCTGTGCCACTGCCCGCTGTGATCACCCTGCGTCCCGTGGCCTTTCAGCCTCGGCGAGACACTTGGGCACCTCTGCTTTGGTATCGAAGAGGCTCCACGGTGGGTTATTAGCTGCCCCAGCGGGTGTTTCCATGGCGAGCTGATGCCAGGCAGCTTGCTGGTGCCCGGCCTCCTTGCTCAGCAGAGTACAAGGGACTGCAGTTGCAGCACAAGCCAGGCAACGGCTCTGCCAGTGACCTTTTTCTGGGTTAGGACTTCCCTTGCTCATCCTGGGCTCTCTTGTTGGGGCACTGGGACTAGCAGAGTCGGAATTTATAGGAAATCGGTGCAGTGATGAGCAGAAGCAGGTGGTCTGGCTGATTTTCTAAAAGCCCCTGAAGCTAGCAGAGAAGTTCAGTGGAACTGTGATTCTGGGAAGGGACCAGACAGATGAGTAGAAACGTGGGAGGGAAGGAGAGCTGCTTCCAGGCCAGAAGACTCTCCTGTAAAGCCAGACAGTTTCAGTTTTTTGCTGCTTGCACAATTGCAGCCTCTTTCTTGCTGCAGGCTCTTGTGACCTTCCTGTTACTTGGTCCTGCACCAGTACAGCCCAGTGAGACAGGGAAAGGCTGTTTCCAAAGCTGTAGGCAACTTGGAGAAGAGTCACTTGGTCTTTGCCCACCTGAGTTAGGGATGTGACCTGGACTGAGTGTGGCTCTGTGCTGAGGTCCTGGCCCTGGCCGGGTCTGCAGGCAGACGCGGTGGACCTTGGCCTGCCTCCGGGCACTGGTCTGCCCCGACAGCCCTGCAGCAGCACTCGGATCCCAGTCCGCCGGGTTGAGCACGTGCTGCCTGGCAGGCTGGGACCTGCGGTGAGCGGAGGTGAAGCCTGGCATGGAGGC